ATTGCTTTGGGTAGTATGGGCATTGTAACAATGTTGATTCTTCCCAGCCATGAGCATGGTATGTTTTTCCATTTGTTAACATTTTCAGCTATTTCTTTTCTTAGAGTTTCATAGTTCTCTTTATAGAGATCTTTCACGTCCTTTGTTAAGTAAACTACCAAATATTTCATCTTCTTTGGCACTACTGTACTTCCACTGTTTTTAAGTGAAATAGTTCTGATTTATCATTTAGTTATGTTTGAGATAGAAAATAATATTTTTCATGTTAAAGTTTATCTACTTTTATCAGGAATGATCTTTGAAGATTATCATAAGCTTTTGCAGGATCTTTTAAGATTATTATTTTTCTCTTAACCCATTGATATAATATTAATATATTCATTTCCTAAAAGCCTGTTTATTTATTGCTCATTATTCCTTTGTTAAACTTTGAATTGTTAATGTTTTATGAAGTTTGACTTCTTCTTTCATTCTCATTATGCCTCCTTGCACAGAACTTGGTACATAATTAGCCCTTATTACAGTGTTTAAGTAATAGTAATTTAGCCAAAACTACCATGTCTCTTCTGCTAATGATTAGGAGGTTTGTATATACTCCAAGAGCATTATGTTGTTAGCCAGGCGTCCTCAAACTACAGCCCGCAGGCCACACACAACCCGCCTACAACATTTATCCGACCCGCCAGGTGTTTTTGCCACTGCTGCCTGTCCTGCTTAGCAGCCAACTCATCCTGGGGCCTGCAGTCCAGCCCTCCAACGGTCTGAGGGACAGTGAACTGGCCCCCTGTTTAAAAAGTTTGAGGACCCCTGTTTTTAGCCTTTTGGTTAGTGCTCAAAGTACTAGGGCATGACTTATCTCAGATCCCTCTGAGTCATGCCTCCACCTCAATATTTTTCACAATATTGACAAATGGTATTACGTTCAGAAATGCCACCTTTAGCTAAAATAAGATGACTCAATGCAATAATTCTTTAACTCTATATAATTTCAGGTTGAAACTCTTTAAACCAAATCTTCTCCTTAGTTCAGAACTTTTCTGTTCTTTCAGTAGACTTTTCTTTAGATCCTGGAGAGCTTTTTGTCCCTGTGTAAGGCTCTCCTTGAGTCTGCATGCAGAGTACCAAGAGTTTTTACAAGGACCTTTGACAAGGCATCAGAAACTGTCTCTACCCTGGTAACCAGGGAGAAGATTCTATTGTTCATCTTGGATTCTACCCTACATGTCTTTCAGACTTCATTTAATCTGTCAACCAAAATTCTGAAGAGATGAGGTAGAGGACAAGTTAATAGAGCTCCCTTGCATCCTTCCTTGGTACACAATAAATGTACCAATGTACATGCCAATGTATATTGTGTACATTTACCAATGTAAATGTACCAATGTACAATGTACAATGTACCAATGTAAATGCCTTCGACAGAAACCACATTCTTGTTTTATGAGTTCTTAATGCCATACATGTTCTTAAACGTTGGTATTCTTACACTTTTCATTATACTAGATATAAGCATATATGTATTTGTATCTGTTTACAAAGATGGAAATATATAAAATATATTTCTTGATATATCTACTATAACTACATTTATATCTATATATTTTATAGCATTTTATTTAAATTTTTTTTATATATTTGAAAGGTTATTTTTTAAAGATACATAAAACAGATGTTCTAAAATGGAACACTCTACCGAGGGTGACAAAAAAAAACTCTGTCTCAAAAAAAAAAGCTGTATGTTTTCACATCAGTTTAATTAACTTGATATATTGCTTGTGTTCTAATTAGATACATACTGCCATGAAAGAAAATTCACCTTTTTTTGATGATGGACATCCTTGGGGAGAAGAAACTGAAGATGGAATTATGTATAATAAGGTACCATCCATTACCACAAACTGTAATAATGAGTTGCCTTGACATTATTAACTTGACATTAAATGTCACTATTGAAATTAATACAGATGCTCCTCAATTTACTGTGGAGTCACATCACAGTAAGCCCATCATAAGTTGAAAACATTATTAATAAAAAAATACATTTGGCTTGGAGCCCGTAGTACAGTAGTTATGGCACCGGCCACATGCACCGAGGATGA